GCCCCTCCCAGTCCGTCCCAGTAACCCCCAGTGCCCCCCCGGCCCCTCCCAGTGCGTCCCAGTCCATCCCAGTCAGGAGGAGGGGAACTGGCTGAGGAAGGCGCTGAAGTCCAGCTCCCCCAGGGAGGGCAGCGAGTCCTCGGGCCCCCCCAGCTCAGCCCCCAGCCCCAATTCGGGGGGCGCGGCGGGGGGCTGGCTCTGCACCAGCCGGGCGATGGCCTCGGGGTACGACATCAGCATGGGGGGGCCCCCGAAATCCGCGGCGTGGGGGGGGGGCAGCTCCGGACGGGGTCCCCGAAGCTGGGGGGGGGCTCGGGGGGGTCCAGCAGGCGCTGGACCTCGGAGGCGTTGATGGGGTCCAGGGGGGGGAAGGGGGAGTCCCCCAGGAGCGCCCCCAAATCCAGCGGGGGGGCCACGCCGCCGCCCCCCGCCGCCATTTGGGGGGACCCCTCCTCAAATTGCAGCTGCAGCAGCGCCTCCGACAGAGGCTCGGCCTCGGGGGGGGCCGGGACCCCCAGGAGCCCCCCCGGACCCCCGAAAGAGAAGGAGGGAGCTGGGGGGGTACCTCCCAGTCACCTCCCAGTCACACCAGTGACCCCCCAGTCCTGTCCCAGTCCCCTCCCAGTCACACCAGTCACCTCCCAGTGACCCCCCAGTCCCCTCCCAGTCACACCAGTCCCCTCCCAGTCACTTCCCCATCACACCAGTGACCCCCAGTCCCCTCCCAGTTGCACCAGTTACCCCCCAGTCCCCTCCCAGTCACACCAGTGACCCCCCAGTCCTGTCCCAGTCCCCTCCCAGTCACACCAGTCACCTCCCAGTGACCCCCCAGTCCCCTCCCAGTCACACCAGTCCCCTCCCAGTCACTTCCCCATCACACCAGTGACCCCCAGTCCCCTCCCAGTTGCACCAGTGACCTCCCAGTCACTTCCCAGTCACATCAGTGATGCCCCAGTCCCCTCCCAGTCGCACCAGTCCCCTCCCAGTCCCCCCCCAGTCCCCTCCCAGTCCCCTCCCAGTCACACCAGTGACCCCAGCAGGCCCCGCAGGGTCCCAGGGGGACAAGAAGGACCCAAAAAGAACCAGAGCAGGACCTGGGAGTGCCCCAAAAGGGACCCCGGGTCACCCCCAGCCCCACAAAAAGACCCCATAACTGCCCCTAGCCCCCTCCCCAAGCCCACCCGGGTGGGGCAGGAACAGGAAATCAATGGGAACTGCAATGGGAATAGGAATCAACGGGATCCAGGGACTCGGGAATGCCCCAAAGGGACCCCGGAGCCCCCCAAACCCACACTAAGGACCCCATAACTGCCCCTAGCCCCCCGTAGCCCCCTGCTGACCCCTCCCCAAGCCCACTCTGGTGGGACAGGAACAGCAAATCAATGGGAACTGCAGCTCCAGGGACACGGGAGTGCCCTGAAGTCACCCGGGAACGTCCCAAAGGGACCCTGGAGCCCCCCAGCCCCACAAAAAGATCCCGTAAGTGCCCCTAGCCCCCTGTAAGTGCCCCTAGACCCCTGTAAGTGCCCCTAGACCCCTGTAGACCCCCATAGCACCCCGTAGCCCCCGTCCAGGCCCACCCTGGTGGGACAGGAACAGGAAATCAATGGGAACTGCAGCTCCAGGGACATGGGAATGTCCCAAAGGGACCCCGGATCACCTTCAGCCCCACAAAAAGACCCCGTAAGTGCCCCTAGCCCCCTGTAAGTGTCCCTAGCCCCCCATAGCCCCCTCCCCGGGCCCACCCTGGTGG